ATAGTAAAATTTTTAGTTTTTGTCATGTCACTTTATCCAATTATTTGTGATGATCTGCAGGTGTCCCTATACTTTTGATGATGGTTGCTACCATCTTTGCGTCATATAAAAATGGTTGCAACCACCTTTACAACCATTTTGTTTCTTTTTTTGGGTTGCGACATGGAACACTATCTAGGTAGATATTCATAACAGTTATAAATGCATACATATTGTAAATTTTGAAAGTTAAATAAAACTTGGCATTATTTTAATTTATATATGAAAAGATCTGCATAAAATTTAGCCAATCATTTTCATTTTGATTCTTTTCTGGAGTATTTTTAGAATTACACAATGAATCTAGATCATTGATCATTACAGTATTTGGAAATTCCAAATTTGGATAAAATCCTGAATAAATGGATTTTTAGCTATGCTGTTCTCTCATGCATATTTTCCCACAGCTTCCCAAAACATTACTTAAAGTTAAATTTATTGTGAAATTTTTGGGTAAAATATTGGGGGGTGTTACAGTCTAACTAAATCAAAATTAAGCAATCTCATATAGTGTTGATCGATAAATTATTTTTTTTAATGATCAACAACACAAAGAAAATAATAAATAAAATTGCATTTTCAAAATGCTACTAGTCAGTGAAAAAGAGAGATATTATTTCCAACTTTAAGTATGGAATAGTATAATATATCTGGTTTATTGGTACAGAGAGATTTTTGAAGGTAACTAACACCGTTAATGAAAAATTCACAATCAAAAATTGCTAATAATGTAACAGATATAATAAATACACATTTTTCAAAATGCTACTATTCAGTGAAAAAGAGATACATTATTCCAACTTTGAGTATGGAATAGTACAATATATCTAGTTTATCAGTACAGAGAGATTTTTGAAGGTAACAAACACCATTGATGAACAATCACCATCAACATTTGTTATATTGTGACAGGTCTTTTGAAAAATTGATTTTTACAGCAGATTATCTTTTTAAAAATGGTAAATTTTCCCTTTCAGTATTCCGTGTAACATCAATTAAAAAAAACCGTACATATTAATTTATCATAATGATATATATTAATTAGATTTGTTGATCTACTGTATGACACCCCCCAATTTCCTATGGTGCGGGACCTTTTAAACCACCAATTCTGCATGTGATTTTTAAAAAAATAGAAGTTCATTTCTGTATATCATTTTAAAAAAATAGCTCTGTTATGACATAGATTAGGACCCAAGCTTTAATGTGACAGAGAGTTTTTTTCAAAATATTGGTGGGTTGTTGAGTTCTGTTCCTTTTTAGTACGTACATATGTAAACTCGATAAGTCGGCCAAAATTTTCTCCCCATTTTCTTAATATTTAAGTAATTTAATTCGATAAGTCGGTCATACGAGCACACCCCCACATGAACGACTTATCGAGTTTACATATGTACATGTATTTTACTATGTTCGCGAGGAATTGGGCGCTTAAATTTTGGCGGAAATTATGACATCTGCAGATCCTTCTATAAAAATCGTCATTAACGCGTCAATATTTTTATTTTACTCATTCCAATAATAATAAATTTACATATTAGTTAAATATGCAAGTTAATGTCGTGTAGCATTACGGATTTAAAAATATTGTTGCATTTTTAGATGATGTGAAGATTTTAAAAGTCGACACATTTTTAATTTGGTCCGCAAATAGTTCTGAAACTCAGTAAATAATAATAATTAGTTATTTTTCGCAACACATTACCAAATTCGATTACTTCATTTTCGCGGCACTAAATTCATTTTTCGCAATACATTACCAAATTCAATTACTTTATTTTTCACGACACATAACACAACTAAACTCAGAAAAAATTATTTTGCGGCAAATTACTAAATATTATTATGTAATACAATTAAGTAAGGGTCGACAAATTTTCACCCAATCCAAGCTACGTTTTCAAAACGTGATGTTCAATCTTTTAACAGGGGTATCTGGGTGGTTTGATGGTTAAGTGTAAACCCAATTTTAATTAGCAAATTAGGCTATGGTTTACCGGTTCCTTAGGGTCAACGTCTCAATAATAATGTTAGTCATTGTTATAGGTCCTTGGATTGGTTGAAAATTTTTATCACTATTATTTATAGCTCGATATAGTTATAATCATATAACGAATGAAATCAATTATGAAAATAACCTACTTTTTAAGTTTTGTGTACTCGTTGCATTTTTTCAATACGACAAAATTTCGCAGATCAACAGTATATAAACTGATAGTCGATGATATTTTTGGAAATAAACATTGTTATTTTTCATCTTTTTTTTAATCCATTATTATAATGTCATTGTTTATCATAAATAAAATCAATTCTTTTGAGACAAATTATCAAAAAAGAATAAAAAATGGAAATGTTTTACAATCATCGAAGAGGAAGGGGAAATTTATCAATTCAATTTCATCTTCTGCTAATAATATTATTATTCATAATATTTTTACTGTTACCATGTAAAGTGGAGTCTCGACTTACAGATGGTAGTGATAATAATTTAAATAATCCAACTTCTGGTACTCCAAAACAATATTTTCAAATGAAATATCCACCTGAACCTTTTTTTGGGTAATTGGATCGTTTTAGTACTGTTATTTAAATCATTTACTAAATAAATAAATAATGAATTGATTATTTTTTTTTATGAACAATATTAGCCCAGATGGAGATTCAATGATAAAAACACCTTCTGATATTGTTGACACTGATCCGACACAACCAGTACCCAAGTGTACTGATCCATTACCAGCTAATACTTATCCAATGCCAAGATGCATCTCTAATATTATATCTAATTATCGTTTAAATCAGTTTGATGTTGGAAAGACAATGAGCTATCGATCTAAAAGACTAACTAGTCATTTGGTAAAAATTTTTTTTAACAATTGTATTTATTTTCTCAAATTGATTTTTGAATTAATTAATTTTTTTCTTTCTAGACTACTTTTTTTGCTCAATTTGTTAGTTATGATATTAGCAGTTCTCAAAACAATGCACAACCAAGTCATAAATTGCATATACCATCTGATGATGCAACATATAATTCATATAATTCAGTAACATCATTACCAGGTCAATTGAGTAATTTGAAGTCAATTCCTTTTAATCGATCAGATTTTCTTCCTGCTACTACACAAACACCAAAGCGTACTGGTTACAATAATGCAACTCCTTTTCTAGACTTGAGTTCTATTTATGGTATTACTAATGAAAATGCAAAAAATCTTCGTGAGGGTAATAAAGGAAAATTAAAGACTAGTGGAAATATAAATGACCCTTACCCATTTAAGGATCCAACAACAGGAAATTATATTGTTGGTGCTAGTTCTGCACGATCAAATAATATTTTTATAATGGCTATTCACACTATTTGGTTGCGTGAACATAATAGATTATGTGATGAACTTTATGAAAAAAATGGTGATGCATGGACTGATGATCAATATTTTGAAGAGGCTGTAGGTTTTTATATTTAATAATGATAGTAATATAATAATAATAAATTTTTAAAAATTTTTTTAAATTAAATTAGAGGAAATGGAATATTGCATTTTACCAAAGAGTTGTTACAGAAGAATATCTTGGAGTTGTACTGGGTAAACCACTGCCACCATATCAAAAATATGATCCAAATCTAACTCCAGGAATTGATGTTTTTTTTGCAACAATAACATTCAGATATGGTCATAGTGAGCTGAGTGATTTTTTTCAAATTCAAGATGAATATGGCGATGCAGTTGTGGAATTATCATTAGAAAATATTATGAAACTGGGTTTTCTGGAAAATTTTGGTGTAGCAAGTTTATTGAGATCAATATCTTTGCAACGTCAAGAAGATGTTGATATATATTATTCTGATGCAACAAGAAATGTTAAATCATCTGAACCAAACATTTATGATATTATAGCATTTGATGCTTTAAGAGCTAGAGATAGGGGTATAAGTTTTTTTTTGTGTGTGTGTGTGTGTATTTATATATATATATATGAGTTAATATAATGTTAATATGCATATAAATTTTTTTTGAAAATATTTTATTATAGGAATTGCATTATATAATGATGTTCGTCAGGCATATGGTTTAAAAAAAAAAGATTCATGGGAAAATATAACTTCAGTTAAAGAAATACAAGATCATCTACAACAATTGTATCCTAATGGTCCTAATCAACTAGAAGCTTTGGTTGGAGCAATGTCTGAAGATCATTTAGATGGATCAAACTTTGGTGAACTAATGTACACTAGTATGGTCACTCAGGTAACATTTATTTATAATTTAAATAATTGCTATTATTATTATCATTTTATCTAATATTTTCATTGTTTGCTTTTACTTCTATTTATTATTTTTTATAGTTTATGAATATTAGGAATTCAGATAGATTTTGGTGGGAGAACAAAGAGAACAACTTGTTTACTGATGAAGACAGAGCCATCAGACTTAGAAATCAAACAACATTTAGAGATATTATTATACGTAATTTAGATGGTATTTTTCAAACAGCAATCCCACAAAGTATTTGGTCAGTTCAACCAACACAGAAATTGTCCAAGTCATCAAAATACTTTAATCATATTTCCTTATGGCCAGCAGCATATGTTGTTGGTTATGAGATTTCTGGAAATTACATTAACTTCCAAGTTCAAATACTAACCACAAATGGCAATGCATGGTTTGGAATGGTGAGTTAGTTATTTAATTGATAATGTCAAGATCATGATGATGACAGTGATAAAATTTATTTATTTAAATAACAAATAGGGGTTTGATCCTGATAATAATGGAATGAGTGGAGCAGATTTTGTAATTGGAATTGTAAGTTATTTTTTAAAAAATAATTATAATCTTGTAAAAATTAAAAAACATCACATTAAAAATTTTTGTTTTTTAGATTTCTAATGGTAAAGGATTATAAGGTTGTTTTGTATTAATTGGTGAATTTGCATTAATATCATTATTGTTGTTATTGTCATTTCCACTGCCACTGTTATTGTTATTATTATTAGTTTCATCAGTGGTAATATTACTTTTATTATCATTGACAACAAATTTATTTAACCAATCTGAAACCATTTCTTGATCAATTTCACCATTTTCCCCTGTCCAAGCTAGAGATGGTTTATTTAGTGCATATGTTATAGTTAGCATACCTGCACTATTTAATTGATAATCTTCTAATTCTATGCCATTAATTATGTCCTCTATTCTATGGTTACCATATAACAAATGCATTGATACTCGTTTATTAGGTATTGTTGGTGCATGACTACGTCTCATACATAATTCCAAATGGTATGTTATAAGCTATTTCATTACAATAATGGTAAGATAAATAAGTGTGAATAATAATAAAATACATTATTGTTTTACAATAAAAATCTTACTTGTAACATTGGTGCAATTCCAGTACCACCACAAATCATGTATAATTCTTTCCAATGACCATCCTGAGTATTAGGATTAAGTAAAGAACTTGTTGATGAAGATATGAATGATGGGATATTTTTTGCAAGTAAACTTGATTTTCTATATTGTGATGTTGCATCAACAGATAATGGTGTTTGCAAAACTTCTCTATCTCCAACATCAAATGGTCCTCTCACTTGAATCTCATAGCCTTTTAATTGTTCATTCTGAATCATGATTAGTTATTAATTAATTAAATAACTAATAGATTTTAATAATAATAAATATAGCATCATATAATTACTAATTATTTCAAATCTTACCAAATGTCGTGACATTAATCCATCTGGATACACTTTAACAAAAATACTAAAACTTTGAACAATATTGCCTTCTATTGGTGTATAACTTCTAATTACCACTTGCCCTTTAATTCTTGATTGCACTTCAATATAATGTCCTGGCAAGAATTTCAATTTATGATTATAAGCTTCATTTTCATTTTGATGCACTATTGTAAATGTGAATTTCATCACTGGATATTCTTTACTGCCATTGATAGGTACTTTGCTTGTCAGTTTGTATCTGCGGAACTTTATTCTAAATGTTGTATCTTGTCTAGCAATTCCTGAATCTGCTTCACTATCAATATTAATATTATTTACATCCATTGGTGGTATTGTTGGTACAGGTAATATTGATGATTCAACATCTGGGCTTTCTTTTAATTTTGCCACAACCATTGTTGCCATTTTCTTAATTGCAAATAAATTATGTGGATGTATAGCCAAAGGTGCCTTTAAGAAATATTTACAATTCATATCATCAACAACTTGTGCAACTGAATTTCTTTCAGTTGTATATTTTTTGGTTCTCTCATGTAAAATATCTGTATATTGTGCTAAAACTGATGTTGATATACCAGTGGGAACAGGTTTTATTGATTTTATTGCTGGTAAATTAATTTGCTCAATAATCTCTTTACCTTTATAACCAAAAAAATCATTTGTTATATCTGTTCCTATGACATGTTCAAGAATTTTTGCTCCACCAGGATGTACCTTAATCCATTTTCTCACATTAACAATAAATCCATCACAAACTACTAAATATGCTCCACGTTGAACATGTTCATTAATTTCACACCATGTAAGTTCTGTTAATTTAGCTAAATCTTTTTTGTTAATATGTGATGAAAGATTGTATTCTTTTTTGTTTCCTTTTTCAAAATTCAACAAGGTATCTATCCATTTCAAATTTCCTCTCCAATTCCA